GGGGGGGGGGGCTGGGATGGGTGGTATGCGAAAGTCGGGGAGGGAAAAACAGTGGATGGTCGGAGCGTTCTGAACGTGTGTGGCTTTCTAATAACGACACTGTACAGAAACAATCAATATGTCAGAGTCCTGACAGCGCAGCGAAAAGGAAGACGAGAGAAAAAAAAAAGAAAGAAAAAGAGGGATAGAAAAGGAATAAGGAATAATGTTCAATAAACGATAACAGATGGTAAAAAAAAAAAAACAATCTAATACCGCGACCAAAGGACTCTGACGCGACGGACGAGCAAAGCTCCTCGAGAAGTAGAAGCCTAAAATTACAGGAAAATTATTACTCTACGAAAATGACTCGTCGGATGATGACTGACGTCGACGTCGCCTGCTGGAACTTGCTTCACCGAAACAGCGCAGCGCACTCGCCAGCAGTGCATAGCCATCACCCATCTTGTTGGCAAATGTATCTGCCGTTCTCTCACGCGATGCCATCTCCTCCCGCATAATCTCCCGCGTCAGCTCCGCCAACTCTCTCTGAGTAGCAAGTTCGCGAGCGGAGAGCTCTGTTAGTGTGCCGCAGTGGAGCTCTGCGCAGGACCTGTTCATTCTGCCCTGCTCTGCAGCTGCCTCACGAACTGCATTTGTGTTGTTCGTCATGGCGGTACAAACAATCTGCAGGCTTTGTTCCCTAGCGTTCATGTTCCTCCTCCTCCTGTTGGGAGGGGTGGAACCAGTAGCAGAGGTAAGGTTTGAACCCTCGCTGACAGAACCCCCCATGCTACCATATTCAGCCTCACCATTGTTTTCTCCCTCCTGACGCTGAGGGGCTGGGTTATGACCAACTTCCTCCTCCTCCCCCGTGTCCACCACACGGTCGGGGTAAACCGTTTGGTTCCTGGTGTTGTAGGATTGGAGGATATCAAACCATGTCTTCCTCATGTTAAACTCGAGCTTGGCGGCAGCCCTTTCTTTCGGAGTCATTGTCCAATAACTTTGTCGACCGCTCCTTGTGTCGTTGTCCACAACTTGAGTGTACCACCTCTTGACCGTATTCCATCTTCTTTTGCAGTCATCCGCTTCTCTTTTCCAATTCGACGCTTTCAACTGTGCTGAAATGGCTTCCCATACCTTCCCGGCTTCCTTCCCTTTCCCCCGACCCTCTGAATCAAGCGCTCTTGCTGCCAACTGCTCTGACTTCGCCTTCAACAGGACAGTTGTCTCATCTTCTCCCCAACGACCACCCGTAACCCTCTTGCCACGAGCAGATGCATTATCGGTCCCCGTGGCCGCCGCTGCCTCACCCACAGTCCCGGCAGGCGGAGGATGGTCACGACCTGCTTGCCTGTTGACCTGCACAGGCTGCACTCCATTCGCGTCCAAACCACTGCCTGCTGGCACAGGAGGGCAGCCTGGATGCCTATCACCCGTCACACTCTGTGGAAAGACATTGCCCTCACCACAGTGCATGTCAGGGTCGCCACCATGCATGTCGAGATCTTCTGAATTGTGTGGCGGTGCAGGATCACGATTATCACCTCCATTGTTGACGGGCAGGGAGACTCCTTCCCCCGCCACTGCGACACCACCAGATGACGCCGGATTGCACACTGCTTGCGACAAAGCGGAAGACGACGTTGGCAACGATCCAAACGGCGACAATATCTCTTGATGGACGTCCGATGTTGTTCCCCGCTCAGCTGGCCCAACACAGTCGTTGTGAAGGGGCAACGAGCACTGCACGGGGTTGCATTGCGACCCGCTGGGAGGTCTTCACACTGCCCAGTACTGTGATTGCCCGGTCACGTCAGGACTTGCAGCAGCGATGGCGCTTCCATTGTGCGGATTCACGTGTACACTTCGTATGCCTCCCAGCTGCGAATTGACATGATTCATCACCACAGGGGAGGCAAGCATGCTGCTGCCGCTGCCTACCACAGACTGACCGTCTACAGGCCACATATCCGACCGGAGAGGAGGCTTGCATGCATGGGAGACAGGCATGTCCTTCCGTATGCCTCCCAAAGGTGCGTGGTGCTGATCTCTGAATGTGCTTGCCGAAGGACGCAGAATTGGACACGAATACGTCATGGGGCTGGCTGGTACAGGGAGGCTGTCTTCAGCGCGCCGCGCCATAGCCGCGCCGACGCCATAGGTGCGTGGTATCAGAGCAGGGGCCCGTTGCACCGCGCGCCGCGCCATAGCCGCGCCGACGAAGAAGAAGACCGGCGCCGAAGAAGAAGACCAGTGACGAAGAAGACGATCGCCACGAAGGAGGAGACCGCCGTGCCGCGCTAACCTGCAAGAGATATAAGAGAGAGAGAGAGAGAGAGA